AGGCCTGGATGCAGCTGCCCCTCCAGATCCAGATCCCAGCCCAGCTGTAGCCCCCAACGTGGCTGAGGGAGGGATTCCGTCCCTAGGGTCTGGCGCCTACTTCAGCAGGAAAGCCCGACTCTCCTTCCGCCACCAGCTGCATGACATAGCATCGGCCAACGACTCCACCATTTGAAGGGGAAAACCAGGGGCTGAACTTCTGGGAGGCCTTGGCAATCTTCCTTCCCCTGCCCGCTCAGTGATCCCAGTGTCTGGCTCCTCCAAGTCCCTCATGACCTTCCTATTAAATACACTGAGAGTTGCCAAGTGTTGTATGTGCGTGTGCCTTGGAGAATGGGGAGTAGACAGGGACCACAAGAGCAGGGCTGTGTTATGAGGCTGAGATGGGAGGTGTATGAGGTGGGAGTGGGGATGCAGGAGTGGTGACTAAGAGATAGCTGATCTCAGGCAGAGCCCAGGTAAGCCTAGCAGAAGCAGGTTTGCTGAAATCAAGCCTGAGCTGAGTGTGGCGAGAGCAGTTTGGAGAGGGTGGTGTGTAGGCAGGACAGCAGATGGGGCTAGAGAGCATGATCATTCAACAAATATCAAGTGTCCACTCCCTGCCAGGCACTGAGAATTTATCAGTGAATTAAGCACAAAGAATTCTCTCTTCTCCCTGAATTTACTAGTAGGGGAAGTAGACAATAAATAATCCCGGTAATATGAGCTAGTGATAAGTACTGATATGAAGAAAATTAAACAGGTCATGTGAGAGCAGGATGGATTAAAATTTAAATGGTCAGGAAAGGCCTTTCCGTTGAGAGATGAAGAGTTCTCAGGATTTACTGCTAGACTGAATGTGGAGAACAAGGGAAAGAGAGGAATCAAAGATGCCTTGAGATAAGGAGGACCAGGAGAACAGGTTTTGCAGAAAATCAAAAGTTTTCCATTGGTTATTTTAAGTTTGAGGTATACATGTTTGGAGTCTGAGATCCTTCTTCACTTAATCCAGGACCTCACTGGCTCCTTAGGAAGTCTCCCTTGGACCCTCCAAAATCTTCCAGGGCAGGATTATATTCTAGAACCAGGTTTTCAACTGTGGCTCCTACAGTTCCCTTATCCACCGACTGAGTAAAGTAGATTAGGGCCAGGTTGTGGGTCACTGTCAATGAGCACCACTGAGGTCCTTTAGGTCCCTGGCTGGAGTGGGGACAGCCTTGGAGGGGCCAGAGTCCACTCTCAGCCTCCCATCCAAGGGGCTGAAGGCTGACTTCCCATCACACTCCGGTGGGAATGGTGGCTTCTGGAGCTGACCCACAGCACTCCCACTGGCTGCCCTCTCCCACCCCACATCCGTCCCACACTCCATTTGCAACAAGGTCCACCTTTCTCCCCAAAGCCAAAGCAGTCACACTGCTGCTCCTGCAAGATGAAATGACAGGTGGGTGTGGACCATGAGCCTGAGCTGGAGATGTGGAGTCCATCTGGCCTTAGGGCCAGAAGCCTCCCATGATGACCGGCAGGAAGCAGGCGAGGGGAAGTGACTCCAGTTTCTGCCAGAATTCTGAGTTCGTGGGCTTGAACAGGGAAGGGGGCGGGTCACTCATTGGGAGCCCCCACATCAACCACACTGAGTTCACAAGGACCTGGATATGGTAGAGGAAAGCGTGGAAGAAGGTGGCCTGGAGAAAGAGGATTAAAAACCACCCTTGTAGTAAAGGCTCCTCTCTAGCTTCTTCAGAGCTCAGAGTAATGGTTTCTATAAACAGGAGGGGGCCAGACAAGTTTAGGCTTGAGATCAAGAAGAGGACCCCAAAGCAAACAGATTCTCATTGACAAACTGTTTATTGAGTTTTGCATCAGTCCGGGGTATCTCTTATTGCATCCTGGGACCCCAGGGCTCAGGAAGGTGGTAAGGTGGCAATGGTGAATTTGGGAATCTGGTCTCCCAAAAGTACCTGCCGCTCTACCCCTGATTCCTCAATGGCTGCCAGGCGGATCACCCCTCCACTGGAGCCGTCCCGCTCCATGGCCAAAGCAAGAGCTGTGGAGAAAAGAAGAAAGTTGGGGGATGGGGTCAGATGCTGGGCTCAAGAGGCCAGGGTACAGGGATTGATGCTCACAGACCCAGAAGCCCAAATTCTCACCATTGGCAGTGAATTGCAGACACTCTTCCTTGGTCATGCCTTCCCGGTAGGTAGCGTCAACATAGCCATAAATATAGGAGCTCCCAGAGCCCCCAATGGCAAAGGACTGTCTTACCATCATACCCCCCATGGGTACTGAGTACACCTGCCAGACCAATGGGGGAGAAGAGCGTCACCATCTGTACCCTCTATGCAACACACATACATTACCCTGTCCACTGTGGGACTGGTCTGTGAAGAGTTAACGGTAAGAATAACTGATGTTGAGACTGAAAAGATGACTGGCATGGGGAGAGAATTAAAGGCAAGGCTTCAGTGCTGTGATGGGGTGGGGTGGTGTCTGACCTGCCCCCCTTCTTGGGGGTCCCAGCCTGCAATGATGATTCCTGCCATCAGGTCTTCCCGGTATCGGCAACACATCTCCTTAAAGAGGCTGGCTGCCGTGTGTACCAGTGGAGGCTCATTCAGCTCAATGCTAGAGGGTGAAGGGAGGCATAGGGAAGGCAGTGTCAGGACCTGGGAGACAGACCATTCAGCTCCTCACGTCCCAACTCCCTTCAGGTACTTGCTTCTCCCCCGCCCACAAATACCTGTGGAAACCAAGCTGATAAGTGACTGCGTCAGCTACTGCCTGGGTATCAGCTGCTGAGCCAGAGCGGCAGCAGAAAATACGGTCATGAATAGGGGTGAGCTTGTCAGTCACTCGATTGGCGATGTAGGACCTGCAGGGTGGCAGAAGAGTGAGGAAAGGTCCCCACCTGTCTCCCACCTCCACCCTTGACTATCCACTCCCTCAGGGCTCAGGAATAGCAATTCCAGTTTTATTATTATTATTATTATTATTAGTTCTCATCTAAAAGGAAGCAGGCTGGAGAACAGACTTTTACAAGAATTTCACCAAAGGGTAGAGGAACTAGAAAGTAGTAGACGATGGGACAAATCCTTATCTCCAGAGAAAGGAGGAAATTCCCTTCTCATAGCGGTCTATGGAGGGCAAGGCTGGCCTGGCAGGCAGGGAAGTAACAGAAAGACAGGAAGATCTTTCACATCTGTCCTGAGCTCACCCAGTAGTTGTTCTGGAGTCGGCTCCTAGAACCACGCCCCCATCAAACTGCACAGCCATGATAGTGGTCTGGGAAAAAGGAGAAAGGGGTGAGTCTGGGCCGCTCCACATTCTCTAGCATACACAAGCCTCAATGATCCCTCTATCCAGTCCCTAGAGTACGAGAAAGCCGTGTGTCACCGACCCGTTATCAAATCTCTGGGGGCCTCATCACCTCGCAGAATACCAGAATTCTAATCCTCAAATTCCCAAAGGCCCACTCTGGCCTTAAACTTTAGTCCGGCAAGATTCTATAATTCCACACTTCAGCCTATTTTCTACCTCCCACCACACCACTCCAGCATCCTTAGTATCCCTCTCCCCCAGCCTCAGCACCTCATCAGACAGACCACCTCTTTACCCCAAACCCCAGTCCTCCTAACCCACTCTGGCCTTATCCTTCCATTGCATCAAGCCCTGTGCACATCTCCTGAACCCCGAGTCCTTCCTTACCCCTGTGGAGACTTCCTGGTTTTCCCAGTCGGGGGCAATTGCCTCAGACCCCCACGCTGGTGCTGGTCCCACTCCCCGAGCAGCTACTAAGCTGGCTGCCATCTTCCTCCTCCGGTATAGCCACAAAGCAACTGTCGTAAAGCGCTCTGTCACTCTTCAGTCGTGCTCCGAGGCCTTCTGGGGCCAGGCTATACCACAGTTTACGGCAGAAGGGAAATGATGTGCAGGGAAGGTTCTTTTGCGGCAGTGACGCTTGATGGCAGTGTGTCAGGCAAACACCAAACCAAACCAAACCAAACCAAAACAAGTAAGTTTGGAAAGACTGCTTTCTTATCGGTCCTCGGAGGAATTGCTGGGTCATATAGTAACTTTTTATTTAATATTTTGAGGAACTGACAACTTTCTACAGCAGCTGCCCTATTTTGCATTCCCACCAGTCTTGAATGAGGAATCCAGCTTCTCCACTTTCTCACTAATTGCTATTGTGCATTTTATATTTTAGTCACCTTAATGCGTGTGAAGTGGTATTTTGTGTTTGGGGGGGGCATTTTCCTAATGATTAATAATGTTGAACAAGTTTTCATGTGCTAAGTGATCGTTTGAATATCTTTTTTGGGGAAATATTTATTCAAGTTCTTTGCCCATTTTTAAATTGGCTTATCTTTTTATTGTTGAGTTGTAGGAGTCCCTCTTATATTCTGCATACTAGCCTTTTATTAGACATACATAATTGATCTGAGCGCCTGCTTGACATGAGGCAAGAAGCAAAGGTTTTGGCCTTGGATAGCTGACATAAAGGGGGTCATTTATTCACGGAGACAGGAAACATAGGAAAGGTGCAATTCTGGGAGCAGGTGATTGGACACGTATTGGACATGTTGCATTTGCGGTGTCTGTGGAGGTGTCCAGGAAAGAGTTAGCTTTATGGGGCCTGGAGTTCGTGGGAAAGTTCTGGGCTAGAGACTTGGCCTGTAGTTGGCATAGGAATGGCTGAGATAGGCCAGGGGCGTGTGAATCTCTCGGCTGCCAGGAACAGGGATGACACATTTTTCCATATCCATTTTTTTCCTATTTCCCTTAAGTGCCTGCCGTCATCACGCAAAACGCCCTAACTCGACGGCTACCAAAGAATACTTTTTATTCCTCACAGCGCCTCCCTTTTCCCCAAGACTCCGGGAAGAGGGAGGGGCTAAAAACCCCCACCTCCGCTGAGGCGGGCCTTCAAGGACGGTGACGTCACAAAGGAGGCGGGGTATTAGGCCCCGCCCCAGCGCCTGGAGGCTTTGTCACGGGTTCGACCGGGAGCTGCTCCCACCCCGCCCCAGGGCGCTTTTTCCAATGGCCTGCAGGCATCAGGCCAGCTCGAGCAGGCCTCGTTCGGCCAACAAGGTCTGAGTACGGTTGTAGACGTCCTCCAGGGTGCCCGCAGCCCGGGCCAGCGCGGCCCGCGCCTCCGCTTCTCTGGCTCCCGGACATGCCAGCTCGAGCAAGCGGCTGCGACCCGGGAAGGCGAGGAATGCGAGGTGGGCGGCCTGACGGACGAGCCAGGGGTGGTGCGGGGCCAGGGCCGTGCCGTAGGCGTCGCTGCACTGCGCGCCGGCGTCTGGGCCTCCGAGCGTCCCGGTTGCCACACCATGGAGGCAGAGCTGCGACCAGCGTAGCGCACGGTGCAGCAAGAGCATCGTTAATGAGCCCGGGTACCTGGCCGAGTCTCGAGAGGCGATCCCTGGCCTCTCCCACGCCACCATGGTCGCCAGCGACGTGTAGTGCGCGGCCTCTGGGCCATGCACCAGAGCCTCGAGGGCAGTCACTTTGGCGAAGGCCTCGTTGGTGGCGAAGGCGTAGATGGAGCCGAGTGGAATTAGGAATCTGTGTGTGTGATGGTGGGAAGGGTGAGAAGGTTTGAGAAAGAGCGATGGAGCCACAAAGAGGCGGGGACTAGACTGGGGGAGGGAGACCACTCACCTGACTAGCTCCCTCCAACCTGCCAGATACTGCGACAACTCCACATCCCCTTCGGGGTTCATACTGGCGTGGAACGGCCTCACCATGCGGCCCAGCATCCCCTGGGGGCCCAGACACTGAGACTCTTCCCCTTCCAGGCCCTCCAGGGGTCCCGACTGTTTCCGGACCTGGGGGTTAGATATGAGGGCAAGGGGGAGCCGAATCCCTAGCCCGCTGGGCCTCTTTGGCCAAGCAGCCCAGTCGGAGTGAAGAAATTGTTCCTAGGGTCTAGCTGGTGTCCCTCCTGCTGTACTCTCAGCAGGAGACGGGAGAGTGGAGAGGAGGAGGTAGGATCGGGCCCTTCACCAGATCCTCAGCCTAGCCTACTTGCCCCTGCCTCCCACCTGG